GAATAAATTAAAGGATTACATGAGTAAATTAATCACCACAAAGCCTTAATCTCCCTGACTAGTCCCCATATATGATTAGAAACATAAACAATGGTTTTTGGCCACTTTCCCATATCATGCTACCTTTGGAACAAAGTTCATTAGGTAGGGATTCAGTATAAGTTCCAGTTAATAATCAACTTTTCGTAATGTAAGTCTCCCTGTTGAGAAGACAATTTCTGTTAACTCTCCTAATCAATCCCTACACCCACCTTAATTAATCAATATAAAGTTTTATCGTGTGACATCTCTTCATTGTGTGACCAGTCAAATTCTTGCACCTGAAAGGAACTCCAAAAACTGAAGCCACTTCATGATTAATATTCTACGAATTAAATTCAAAATTTGATAAATGTGACTGATTAGTGACTATAAACAAATAGGTAAAACCTGAACGAATATTACTTGCCGCCAATTTCTTTATGTGTGTGTTTAAAATATCTTTGATAATGATGAATGCTTAGGAGAGCATTAAGCACTTGGGGACCGAGACCCTCTAGATTCTATAGTGTCAAGAGAAGCATTCAAATATTATACACCAAAAATGCTCTTTTGACCAATTCTATCTCTTATTTAGTTTTTTCCGCTGTGCATATTTTGCATCAGAATGCTCTTTTGACCAATTCTGTCAGTTTGTTTAATTTTTTCCATTGTGCATGTTTTGCATCAGAGATCATTAGCATGTGTTAATTCGACACTAAGAAACTACATTGACTTCTTCGATTAGGTGATGATTCAAACACGCTTCCCCTAGATTAATTATATTGAGTCCAACTTTTCGGTACTTAACATATTATTAGTTGAAATGATAATATTGTGTGAATGAATCATGTCTGTGTTCAATGTATTGGTTCATTAAGTTTCTAACACCATTTAAACTTAAACCTTCAGATTACAAATTGAACAAGTGACTTACTCCATGAATGGACACGAGTTGGTCTGAAAGCATCCTTATGTCCCCTAACCTCTACCTTCTAAGAACTAGTACTCTATAAAGTGCACGAAAAACTAAAGGAGTTCTAGACTTGGAAAGTTTCCACAAGCATTGGACTGTAAACTATATGCCTTTTTCAAATGTGCATGTTTCAGTCCTTAGTATCTCCACCATCCTTTTTGCCAAACATCAAATCTCTCAATATTGGCCATCAAAATTGACAGAATCAAGATGGAACTTCCCTACTCATTTCCCCTATATATTCAACTTGGTTCTCTCAGGACAAACTACGAACGAAAACACAGAAGAGGTAGATAATGGGAAGTGGGCACTCATCGTGCATGTTTCCAACAAAATCTAGTTACAAAGATGAAGAGAGCGATTGGGAGTCGAAGTATATAAGAAAGATCAGGCCAAGTGATGAGGATCGAAAGCATTGGATTGGAGAGCCTGATGTAGATCGAAAGGCATCAGCATTTATTGCCAGGTTCCATGAGTCCCGGTTCAGTGATCCAGAGAGGCAAGCGATCATGGTTTAATTAAGTTTGTGATGTGTTGGTATTTATTGGTTAAGATTTCGTACAAGTAAATAAGTTTGTCAGGGATAATATACCTGGCAATTTGTTTATGATCACGTTTGTTGTATATGTATGGTTCTAATGTGATATAAAATGAAGCCATTTAGTCAATTTTCTGATGAGTTGTTTGTTGAACTTGTTTTATTAGAATGAAAATCTTATTATCTAGTAAATAATGAGATTTATGTTCCACATTAATGCGCCAATGATAGTGCATTGTCAAGTGGGCATAAATCTCTGAAGTGTAAATGTTTTCCTGATACAGAACAAAATGATTTTAAAACATTAGCACCGATTTCTCTCTGTACTACCAGATGTATTTGTTGAGATGAAGATCATCCTATATTACAAACTCTAATATCAGTAATCATTAAGTACACATGATGAAATTCACAAACAAGAAGATTGATATCAGTTTGGATAATCAAGTTTTGCCTACATGAAGAAGAGCCGAGAATAAATATCCTGGATGATGTTGGAGGATTGCAGGGATAATAAGAGAGAGCCCAAAGATTTTTGAAAAACCTT